TTACCAACAGAACCAACAACACCAGCGCCAGTATCAACAATTTTACCGCCAAGAGCAACAGCAGCATCACCAAGGTGACCAGCATCCTCAACGGCACCATGAACAGCAGCAGAGATACGATTAACAGCGCTACCAACTTTGATACCAGTAACAATATCATCATAGCTAGGAAGTTCGATCTGTTGTTGTACCATATCTCGAAGAAATTTATTATACTTATTCATGGAGATATGCTCACGGTTGCTGTTGAATGCTGTTGTCATTATCATAGCGAAACACATGATAATAAGGAACTGAGGTAGTGTATTGTTGATCATTTTTCAATAGTCGAGTTTAATAAAAGTATGTACGAATGAATTATTAATATTAGATATTGGCTTAGTGTATATAGTATTACTGTTGGAATAATATATATTGCGTTGCGTTAGAAGAGATAATTATATAGCGCTACAATTAGTTTAAGGTCTTTTCGAAAAGTGACAATAGGTAATATGCAATGAAGAACAATATTTTCTATAGCTATAGAACAAATACCTTTTCTTTTTGAATCTAATTGCGCGTGTACAGCGTCCTCGCCTACATGACAAGCAATGACTGTTCTCCATGGATTAGTAAATTCTATCTCGATATCTAACGTACGCACGCCATAAAATATTACTTTTTCTTCTTGTCTTTATTTTTAAACAGAAACGAAGAATATTTACCAAATAAGCCTCTTATGATGAGAGAACGAAAGAAAAAAAATGATGTTTATTTTGAAAACATCCCATGCGTAACATTGGTTTATATATGCATATCAATGTCATTCTCATGTAAAAACAGTCGGCATCGTCTTTTGTTACCGATAAATTTCTAGTGAAAATTCAGTCGAATATAATAGTATAAATCGGATATAAGTTACACTATTTTAAGGAAATTTAGATTATGCTACATTGGTGTTTAGAATAAGATTGATTCAAACAAGTAATCGGAGATTCATTTCCATATCGCATCATCAGACATAATCTGGAGAACTTTTAGTCAAACCATCTAAGCAGTGACGAGACGTATTGCTTGATCGAATCGATGGGAAAGCATCGTTGAGATTCGCCATTCAGAATAAATATCATAGTAGACTTTCTTCAGTGCTTTTATTGTACAATTAAAAATCATCACCGTGCGTTAGCAATTCAGGACTGATTATGAAAGTTGAGATCACTAAGAAAAAGTCCTAGATATAAAAACCTTTTTTCATAATATAATTCTATTCAAACATCGATCATCACACATGTCTTTGACATCTTTTTAATATCAATTATTATTTTTAATATTTATATTACCCAAGTATTTGGTGCAAACGTTTTCTCATGTAAATTTTTATTGATTATACTGATGCAAATCAAATATATAGTACGATATATGAAGATAGGAAATGAGTACACATTCATTTGCTCAGTGTGATAAATTCAAGACTAACCAAATAAATCAGAAAAAGTACGACTATACATGTGCAATTGTGTATTTGTTTTTATTGATCATATCCTTAACTTGTCAATAATATGATAGATGAGGCAAACATTGGCAAGCTAGATGAAAAGAAAAGAATAAGCAATAACGATACTTTATTTTTATAAGTAACATCATACAACAAATCTATCGAGTGTAATTAAATCAATTGAAATGTTTGTTTTTTGTATGATAAATATTTGTTTAGATGACGTCTTAATACAATAAAACAAAGATTATTTATAGAATTTCAATCGATATTTGAATTAAAAATTATTTGTTAGTCAATTTTACAATTTATTTTATTTGGTAAGTCTACTGCACAATAGAATTATATTTTTATAATATTATTTATTTCAAGTCTTTGATAAATATGAATATAAACTTCTCTTGTTCTTATCTCCAGAAGTAACATGTTTTATACATAAAATCGATGTTATAATTAACTCTTATTAATTCACTTCAAATTCTATAAATTTTTACTAGTATGATTTCTTCGTGGAATAAAGAGTGAAATAATATAGTACTTATTTGATTACCATAGTGTACCATTAGAGTTTTAGTCAGTTTCATATACACAATATTTTATGTTGTACTTCTATATTATCAGTTTTGGAAAGATTTCCATAAAAATCATAATTGTTTCATCATTATCCCTATAACACATCTTAAGAATAAATACAGATTTAAAATATCAAATTTTTATTTATTAAATATAATGAAGTTTATGAGATACATTATTTTGATTTTAAAAAACAAAAAATGTTATGTTATCACAGCTGAGTTAATACTGATTATAAGGTTTCATAAATTGTATTTTTCAGAACTGTTAAGTCTATTATTGTTTCCATTGGTGCCACCCATAGTTAATACAAAACTACTTGTTAAAACACTTTGATGATAACTTCTTCCATAATTCAACATAGCATTATTTGACCACGTTCTTGTTACAGGATCATATAATTCACATACAAGTGGATACGTACCAGATGACCAATCAGCACCACCAATTGCTAATACTTTACCTGATGGTAGAAGTGTAAGGGTGAATGCTGCTCGACGATATTGCATTGATCCAACAGCTGTAAACTTTTCTGATGTTGCATTATAAATCTCAGCAGTTGGGTATGCACCTGGAGTACCGTCGCCTCCACCTGCAACTAATACAGTTCCATCATTTAATAATACAGCAGCATGAAAAGCTCGACTATGAGTCATACGAGTAGATAAGAGAGTCCAAGAGTCATTAATATAAAGTTCTGCTGTTGAAATAAGATAATTACTAGCATTAACACCTCCTGTAACAAGTACAGTGGACTAGAGTCCTGCAAACCGGACGGGTACCCGACACCCGGCCCGACCCGGACCTGGGTAACGGGTAAAATTCGCCGGGTCGGTTCGGGCATCGGGCGTAAAAAAAAAGTTCGGTTCGGGTCCCGGGTAGGAGTGTATACCCGACCCGAACCGACAACTAGTGATATCACCAAATTTGTAACATTTTATTCTGATACTATTACTAATATGAAAAAAGAAGTCACAATAAATCTAATAATGATTAAACGACCCATTAGTCATTGAAATATTTCATAAAGAAAAGTTCAGTTTCTTTGAATAGCTTTTGTTATGTTTTGGATAAAAAGCTTTTATTGTTTTGTTAATTAACATCTAACAATACGAAAGGTGGATGTGGGTGTGGGCTTGTATGTGTGTGTGTGTGTGTGTGTGGATGTGAGATAAGAGCAAGATCCACATCTTTAGCTAACTCATGATTCACTTGTTTTTTTACGTAATTTTACATAATATATATTTTTATTTGTTACTTATGAATAGGGGTAGGACAGTTCCATATTAGTTACGTTCTTAGGAACTGTATAATAGTTCTTTTGACTAGTTCATCTGAACTTGGAACTATGAACTGTCCTACCCTTACTTATGAACGAAAATAAACGTATTATATTTATTGAATGAAATAAAAGCTTAGAAATTTGATCATATTTTGAAAAATAACTGAGTACACCGGTTCGGGTCGGTTCGGGTCCGGGCCAGCTTATTCGGTCCGGTTCGGTTCCGGGTGGTTAACTAGCCGGGTCGGTTCGGGCCCGGGCGTAAAAAAAATCGCCGGTTCGGTTTCGGGTACAAAAAAGTGCACCCGTGCAGGACTCTACAGTGGACCCATCACTAAGAAGTGTACTTGTGAAACAACATCGTGCGATATTCATATTAGTTGTGTTAATAAATGAGTTTGATGATGGAATATAAAGCTCGCACGAAGATATACTTATACCTGAAATATTATATCCACCTGCAATAAGAATTTGTCCATTTGCAAGTAGTGTAGCTGTGTGTCTGATATGAGGACTTAACATATTAATTGATGTGAGTGCCCATGTATTGTTTACAGCGTTATATACTTCGGCAGTTTGTTGACCGGATGTAGCTGAACTACCAGCGGCTAATACTTTAGTATTATTTGCAAAAGCAGTAACAGTATGATAACCACGTGGTACTTTCATCGGAGCTGCAAATTGCCATCCGGTTGATGTATAAACTTCAGTGCCTGAAGATACTGTACTGGAATTAAAATGGCCGCCAGCTATAAGAACATGTCCATTTGGTAATAATATACTTCCAAAGTCAGATCGTCCAATATTTAACGATGTATTCATATTCGAAAAGACTGATTGATTAGAAGTCGATGTTTGAACATTGTTATCTGTAAATATAAAATAATCTTATTCATTTCTTTTTCTTCATGATAGGAAATACAGATTAAATCTCTTATGCAGAGATAATGTTCTTTTCAAATAATATGTATTCACTTAGTATACATGAAAAATAAATATTTCATCAAATCATATTAAAATTCATGACCGAACGATTCTTAAGTAATTCTCTTCAATTCTATTTACTCAAACTGTATATGATAATTTTTCTCAATGACTTACCCATCATTGTACTAGTGATTTGCATAGATGATGGATTATTTGTAATTTGTGTGCTGCCTATTCTCATTATTAAAAATCAATAAATACCGCTTTACTATATCTTGTTTATAATTAAGAGACATAGGTATATAAGAATAAAACTAAAATTTCAACCTATTGATAAAATATCATATGTATGCGCTCAACAGACATTAGGTTTATGCTATAGGAAAGAATATTTACATGTTTACATCAATAATCTATACATTCTTAACCTTATGTTTTTGCAAATAAATATGGTTATATTAATCATAGTAAAAATACTTGTAATTATTAAGATGTACTTCGAAAGAAATCTAAGCTATTGCGTTGTTCAACAATATAAAAGGAAAATGTGCACTCTGAACCGTAAAAGCAGCTATTTTTTGTAAGCAATTCAATCATTGTAATATTCATCAACTCTATAAGAATTTGTACAGTAAATAGCATTTTATAGAACTATAAATAAAATTGAAACTAACCATTTGAAATTGTAACGGTACCAGTAGTTTTTGTATTTAATGTATCAATTGGTGAAACTTCATGTTTTGTAGAATGATGTATAAAGTGAACAAGAAGTGATACTGCAATTGCTAATATAACAATGACAATGAAAATATTGATACATGTACGTTGCTTCATTGTTTTAAGAAAATCTTTGTATCTTCCACTTTGTTTTTGTGACAATAAATGTGTTGATATTTAAGAAATGAGAAATTCATAATATTTCATTTGTCTTATATAGTCGTTAAAAGATCAAAATAAATTTTTTTTTTAAATAGAACATTCTTAAAGCAAAATCATGATATTTAATATTTTCATTTAGTAAACGGTTCCTGGCAAGTTCTTCTAAATGAATCAATGCAAAAATCTAATGAAAATAAGCAAACATACTTTTTTCTGCTTTGATAACTCATATTGTTCCGTTGTTTAATTATAAAACAAGAGAGTTATTTTCCCAATAAAGTGAGTTTTATATTTTGCTGTGTTGATTAATACTTGATTTATTATGACTAAATAATGGAATATTTCAGTTTTAACTTATTGAAAACAAGATATTCGTGAACTAAAAAATAGATAGAAGTACAGTTTAACGATCAGTTTAATGAAAATTTTTTATATATTAAAAAAATAACAATATAAATTGGAATTTTCGACGTTGTACAAGTTCGTGAAGTCGGTCTTCTGCATTTTGACTCTGCTATATTGTTACTATCAAGTTTTCTATTTTTTAATATTGGCTCATGCACATGCAGTATTTATTAAGCTTGAGTATTATATTTATATTTGACTGATGTTAGTATTGATTATATGATTATGATTATTATATGTTATTATGATTAGTATCATGATGATATGTCATATGATTATGATTATGGTTACAGCATTAACATCACGTACTAGATTGCTGGTTTATGATTTCGTATTTTGTTATACTTAATTGTATTTGGTATACTGATGATGAGCGACTTCACCAACTTGTACAACGTCGAAAATTGTAAAATTATATTAACAAACAAATAGTTGTCATGAAATCTTTCAACATTTATGTAAGAACATGATCAGATGAAATAATTAGCGCAACCAAAACAAAACAAAAAGAAGAAGAAAAGAAAATTGAGAATGTTACATTTATTTAATGTTAAATGGAATGCATCCAATGATCATTTTTAAAAAAGTCTGGTATTTGATCTTCAAAACGTTGCATAACTTTATAGATACTTTTTTTCAATGATGATTCGAGATTTTTTTGAAATGAAAACGATGTTTTTATATTTTGTTGGAATAAAAATATACAGTAAAAAGAATTTGTGGTCATTTTTAGTATCATAGCATAAGCCAAAACACATATAAACGTAAAAATTAATAAACTTATTACAAACAAAAATTTTTTTTCTATTTTCTACTGCAAACTTTCTTTTATTTTGATATAGAAAATGTTATATTATAACTCATGATCGAAATAAAACTGAGAAATAAATTCTCTTTTTCTACTTGAAGATAATATTTAATTTGGACATCGTGAAGGTGAGAATAAGTGTTCCATCTCGTAACTCATCATCTCTCTCACCCATACACACGCTCAACATATATTCTAATCCTAATCATCTAGTTCGATTTTTTATAGAATAAAATTATATTCTTATTGTTACTTTTATTGATTTCAATGCAATAAAGATATAATAAGTGAGAAAACTAACTAGTATGCAAAACGAAGGTTAATTATAAGGTATATGATAAGGTAAAAAGACGAACATTGAAAATAACAAAATAGAAGGTAATATAGAAAAAAAAAGAATATTTTATGTCTTTTTTTTATTATTATTATTATTATTCTGTGTATATACAGTTCTTTTGTTTCTTTATGTTGCTTGTTTACGTGCTTCAATGGCTTGAGTAATCAAACGTCGTCTATCTTGTCCATTTTTAACACCATTTAGAACAAAATTTTCACAAAAATCTTGTTTATCCTATTATCAAATGATAAAATAAATTTTTGGAAATACAAAAAAAAACTACAGTAACTTACATCATCACTGCTAGAACATTCAACAATTGATGATCCACCTCTTCTTGGTTGATTACGTGTTGCAGCTGGACAATCTCGTACTAACCAACGATTAAGATTAGTATTTTTGGTACGATCACGTGCATTACCAAGTGCACCATCAATAGTATCACCTATTTTATAAATAATTAAATTTGAAAAAAAATAATATTTTTATTTCAACTAACCATAATGCATTGGTACATTAAGAGTATAATAATTTCCATTATTACAAACTTGAACACGACCAGTATCCGAACATTCATATTCTTTGACTTCACCACGATTTGGTGATAATAAATAAATTTTACTATTAATAAATCGAAATGAAAATTGTTGATTACCAAAATCATGTGCTACAAGATAATCACATGATGGATCAAGATAAATATAATTTCCATGTAAATCAATAGCATCACCAGTTTGAGCAATAACAGCTTTAAATTCAGGTGTTAATGATGGATTACGTTTAAATAAACGTTTAACAAGTGAACGTAATGCTTTAAAATAATTTTCACGTGTTTCTGCACGTGCTTCAAAACGATTGACTAATACGGAACGTATAGTATCAAATGCTTGATCACGATTTCGAAGAAGACTACCAAGTGCAAGCATTGTTTCACTTGTACCAGCATAACTACCTGGTTGACGACCAATAGGAAAGAATAATTCAAAATTTGTAGTATTAATATAAGCCTAAAATAAAAGATTTTTTAATCAATAAATATATATCTATATTAAACTAACTTTTGGTATATGTCGAATAGCATTTAATATACGTTCACGAAAAGCTTCACGTCGTTTTGTAATACGTCGTGATAATTTATTAATATTGCTAACAAGTAATTTCGATGAATCACCTAATTTTTTAAATACTTTAGCAGATTCAGCATCAGCAGCTGCAGAAAATGCATTTGAATCAATATCAGCAACTAATGTTCGAAACCATTTATTTTCTTCACCTTTACTTGCATCATCAATAGCTTTGAATACTGCTTTCATTTGTTCAGTTCGTTGTTTTGAAACTCGTTCAAATCCAGCTAATAATTTTGTAACATAATCTTGTATACGTTTTTCAACATTTGCTTGATCGACTGTTGGTAAGAAACGATCGAGAAGTTTTTCTGCGCGATCTAATAAATCTTTAATTAATGCTGAACGACGAGCTTGAACTCGTTCTGCTAAATCTTTAATACGATTATCATTAACAATTGTTGCAATACGTTCACGCCAGAATGCTTCTCGTTCAGTAGTACGTTCTTGAAGAGTAGCAAATATAGCTTCCGATGCTTGAGTATATGTTGGATATTTTGCAAAGAATTCAGACAAGCCAAGACGAGTTCTATATAAATAGATAGATAAACTTTGTAATAAATTAATTCTAAATAATCAATATCTATCTATGTATTATTTAGCGAAAATTTTATTGGCGAAATACCAAGGAGGAACAAACTGATTTCATGATTTTTTGATTTCTAATTTCATTTTAGTGATTTCACCTGATTTCTAGTATGGAAATCAGTTGGGAATGTGTGTGGGTGTGGGTGTGTATGCGGATAGCTGTGGATGTAGGTGTGGTCTGGTGGGTGTCCGCGTTCGTGTCTGTCTAGATACTGTATTCACCTAACACCCACACTTACACCCAGACCCACACCCTTTTGACTTCTATTGATTTCTTGTGATTTCTACTTGATTTCGGGTGCCATTTAAGTGGTCAGTAGAATAAATGAAACGGTCAGTAATTAATGTGATAGGTCCATAATAAAATGTAACCGATCAGTAAATAAAATGAAATGGAAAGTAAAAAAATATAAACTTCTGCAAAGATGTACTACTTTTCTTTTTTTTACTGACAAAAATCATGTTTTTTTACTGCTACTTCCGCAAAATCTACTGACCAATTAATATATTTACTGATATTTCAATTATTTTACTGACCGCAGAACATATTCCTCTTGATTTTCGCTTGCGAAATACTGAACTTTTTTTTTTACAATATGTTCGATTTTAGGTCAATAATATCAGTTATCTCACAATATCTAGATCTAAAACTTGTATCTAATGAAAAAAATAATAATCTGTTACTTACGACCATTGTCGAAGAAAGTTCTTTTCTGGTTCTTCTTTCCATCGAGCAACAATTGCTTTAAGAGCATTATAATCAACATCCAAAATATTTCGTACACGTTTACGAAAGTCGTTAACTAATTCAGCAATACTTGTCTTATTCATATCTTTCATTAAATGATTACGAAGAAATGTTCGTGTAAAATTCTATTTAAAACAAAAAAATATAATAAATATTTATTATAATAAAATTTTTATTTTCTTACTCGAAGTTGTTTAGCTCCTTCAACATTTCGATAACCTAAACTATGAAAGAAATATACTGAACCAACTTGATATCCATAATTTCGACTAAGTTTTAAATCAGTTGTTGATGTTTTACCACCATCAAATGAATGACTAATTTTCGATATTTGACGATCTTCATTCCATTTATTTGATGTTAATTGAACAAAATTTCCATTTGCATTATTAACAATACGAACAGAATAACTTTCTGGTAATTGACTATGTTCTCGATGAGTTTTCCAGTGTTGTGTGTTATAGATAGTTACTGGTGCATCACCAATTTGTAATTTATAAGCTTTTTTAATTGTATCTAAACCAAAAAGACCATTATGTGAACCTAATTTATCGATAGCTTGTGAAAGTGAAATAAGAACATGTGAATCAAATGTTATTTCAACTAATGGTTTTTTCGATGTTGATGCAGCTTCATCAATATCATGTGATGGTCGATTTTGATTACGTAAAGATGGTAAATAATGACGAATTTGAGCACGATCAATTGTGATTGCTGCTAGATTTCGTGCTTGTGGTGATGTTTGTTTAAGTGTAATTGATGTTGAATTATCCCAATCAAGTCTAAAAAGAAAATATATTTATAATAGTCTATTGAATGTATATTTAATTCATACCTAAGATTAATATTTGAAGGTGAAAATCGAATTTGATATTCTCTATCACCAGCTTTTGTACCTTCAACACGTAAAACTTCTAGATTTTTTTGTTTAACAGTAAGAGTTATTGATCTTCCTGGTTGTCGTTTAATATTCCATGATGAAACAAGTGTATATAATGTAGCATCAAGTGCTTGTGTTTGTGGATCACGTGTAGCTTCATAACCAAATCGTTGTCCTGGAAATCGATTTAAATCAACATAAATTTTTGATTTACCAGCTTTACGATCAATATCTAAACTTAATGATGTTCGTTCACCTTTACAAGTAACTGATACATCTTGTGCATCTTGTCGATCAACTTCACATTGATAAGTTTTTTCAGCTGTATTATCATTTGCATTAAATGAATATTTCAAGATACCATTAAATTTTGTTTGTGAACGAAGTGTTTCATCATATTTAACAGATATTGGATTTTTTCGTGGAAGACTTGCTTTTAAATCAACTTTCATTGGATTATTATCATGTCGAGGTTGATATGTTATATCAAGATCAACAGCATCGGCTTTCATACGATTAACATCGAGTTTAACTGTATGTGGACCTGATTTTGGATCATGTTTTAAATCAAGTTTTAATGTACCATCATATGGAACATGACCAGTTGGATTTGATAACATTGGATCAGGTGTTAATTCAAAACGTTGTCGAAGACGTTGTACAAATTTATTATTTGCTTTAATATTAAATGTTGTTGTTTGACATATACCATAGAGAACATTCGATGGATTATTTGGACAACTATTTGATTCACTTGACCAAGCAATAATAGACTGACCTTTTCGTTCATAATTAAAAACAATTTTACGTTGATATTGTCCTGAAAGTTTATTAATTATTTTTGAATTCATACGAATATCGGATCCGATTAATTTTTGTCCAGTTTTATCGCTTAATGAACTTTGTAATTGAACTGTATTCCATTTACCATCTTCTTTTTCAACTGTACCACTATAACTCAATGCACCACGATTATTTGCTCGAAGAGATTTTCCTTCAATTGTTGTTTTCGAACTAAAATCTTCATCACGTAAACGACCAGTATGTATATGATCAACTTTAATTTCAAGATTATTTGGTACTTTAACATCTAATTTAGCTGCACCACGACCATAACTAACATCAAATGTACCTTTTTGTCCAGCACCACTGCTACCTGTTCGAATAGTAATATCACCTTTGTAACAACGATAATATTTACCAGTTGCACTACATTTTTTAGCATCAATATCTGAAACAATTGTTTGTTGTCCATCAGTTCGTTCTGTATGTCCAGTAAGTGTATCATCATCGAAACCAATATCCATTTCATATTTATAATCTTCATTTGTTGTTGTATTTAAAATACCTCGTATAGTAACTTGATGTTGTTTAAATAATGCATAGAGTGAATTTTGAAATTCTTGGTCATAATATTTCGAACTTGTTGAAACACTTATTTGACTTATAGATTGTGTATTATATTTAGCAGTTAATAAAGTATTTAAAGCAATATCATCACCAATATTTAAAGATTCTGTAGCATGAAGTGATGTATTAAGTGAACCTTCTGAATGGAAATGGAAGCTAATTGGAGTAATTTTCTAGAAGCAAAAAAACAAATCGTTTTAAAAATTCAAAAAAATTCATTTAATTTTTCTTACTGGTGATGCAACTTTGAAACCAATTGATGCATCAACTGTTTGATCATCATCTTTATGAAACATAGGTAAATTATAGTAAGCTTGAATTGCAGTAAGATTTGATAATGGTGTACCAAATTCAAAATGAACACCAAATTCTTGTGGCCAATTCATTTTTCCAATACGATTTTCTCGATCAATTGTTAATTCACCAATAATACTTAATGGATTGCCAGATAATTGTGGACTTTCTAATGATAATGCAACTTTTCGTGTTTTATTTGAAAATATATAACCAATTGAATGTTTATGTAATAAATCTGTATTACGTTTGACTAAACCAAATGAATGTAATTTTGACCAACGATGTACATCAATTTTGGATAAACCATGTAAACTATCACCATTACCACGTAAATATTCAATTTCATTATCAATATGTACACATGGTTTTCCATTTTGTGTTGCTCGATCAATATCAATACTACCATAATGTGAAAAAACAGGTTTAGCAATAAGTTGTGATGCTACATGACTAAGACGTCCATTAACTGAAGAACGTTCTAATACTAAATCATGTGTAATAAGTGGTAGATTTTTCAAGAATGGTATTGCAAGTGTTGCATGAGATTGAATTGAACCATCACCAGTTGTATTACGATCAACAACAAGATTAATATTGATTTCTTTTAAATCTTTATCAACACGATAAGCAATTGAATTATATGTTTCTAATAATCCAGCTTGTTTTGTTACATTACCATCGATATCAATTAATTGAAATGATTCATGTTTAGGTGCTTTAAGTGTGATATTATATACACCAATAAATGATTTTGGTGCATCTTTTTTCGGTTGTCGATCAAAACGAGCATTAATATCAAGTGTCATATCATTTTTATCTTGGACAAGATTTGTATCAATATCCCAATGTGTTTTTAATGAACGTGAATGTGTACATATAACAAAATTACCTGTTGCTGTCGCTTTCTTTTGTTTATTATCCCATTGTAATTCTGATTTACTTGTACCAGAATATAAATGACCATTAGTGACTTTATCAACTTGACTACTGTATGTTAATAAACCAGAACGTTGACGACGACGAAGATCATATTGAAATTTATAATTAATTTTATTAAGTAATTCAAAATCAAGATCTGATAAAATATCAAATGCAAATGGACGTGGAAGATCAGGAAATAATTTATCAGTATCAGCAATAATATGAATCTTATTATTGATATCAAGTGTTGGTGGTAATGTTTCAGGACCTTTTTTTGATGCTTCGGAACTTCGACGATGTTTATGATCCAAAAGAAAATTAAATACATTTGATCTTGTTTTAACTTGTACTTTTAAATTTGCTTCTGGTGAAACTAATCGTCTTGCTTGATTTACTGTTCTAATTGAACGTCGAACATAATCAATTTGAATATTTTCTGCTACGGGTGGTTGTCGTGTTAACATAACGAAATCAAGTGAACTATGAAGTGTTGCATTAGATAAATCTTTTGTTCGAGCAAAATCTGTTTTGAAATCAAATACTTTCATTGGTGTATCACGATTAGGTACACGCATTGCTAAATGTGATTGAATCTTATGATCATTTTGTGTAGTTGATGCATGATTACATTTACGATCATATAAAAATTCATAACCATTTTGTGATGCAGTTTTGCTTAATTTCATTGTACGATGAAGTTCAATTCGTGTATGATCATCACTACGTTCTAAATGAGCTTTTCCACTATAACTTACATCACCAATTTTAAAGCCGGCATCGATATGAACAAGTTTTTGATTTGGTTTATATAAATCACCACGAACTAAATTGAAAAATATAAAAATTAATTGATTTTATATATAGAATAAATTAAAGATAAGATTTACAATTGATTTTAAATGATTTAGCTTGATCAGGAGTTGTTAAACTAATATCAGCTGAAAGACCTTGTCCACGATTAGGTAATATATCAGTTGTTAATTTCAATATTTCCTTTCGACTTGCAAGATCAACAAGGTTACTATCTAATTTAAATCCATCATTATTAATAACCAATGTACCAGATGTTGTCATAACTTCTTTATTATCACTTGAATATACTTTACCGGTAAATCGATTACCAGCATGTGTACCTATTATAGATAGAAATACAAAAGAACTTAATAAGAAAAAGATTATCCTACCTTTAACATTAAATGATTTCATTCCAGTTAAAACTTTAATATCGAAATCATTGCCAGTTTTTGTTGCAGAAATACCTAAACCAGGATATGTTCCAGTTACACCGACTTTTTCAACTGCAACTTCATATTGTGGAGCATCTTGAGCATTGAAACGCCAACCAACACGATATTTTTTAATGCTTGGTTCTTTACTAATTGTGATCTATACATAACAAAAAATTTTGTATTGTCACAAAATATCTATTAATAGAAGACTTACAGTAATTGGATACGAAGGTCGACTACCGAGTTGAACTGAACGGAATGGATTAAGTTCTAAACATGCTCGAATACCTAATCCACGATAGATAGCATTTGATGTACACGATGGTTCAATACTAGCTGTTTTAGTTATTGGAACAGCGACAAGACCTTTTGATGTACGTAATGAATATTGAAAGCTAAATAAATTTATATACATATATAAAGTCAAAACTTGAAAAAAAATTTTTTACTCTGTTGCAAGAAGTGTTGATTGTGTATTAAGTAGATTAAATTCTCGTATACGTCCTGCTTGATTAGCTTCAGCTGTATATTCAAATGGAATATTTGATAAAGCACCAATATGAATTGTTTCACCAATACTTGACAATGGTGATGTTATTTCACGTTGAAGTGTTAATGAAAAACTTAATCTAAAAATGTTGTTCAATAAAAGGTAATTTTATTATAGAATACAAAAAACAGAATAACTTACGCTGATCGACTAGTTAATGAGAATAATCCCATTCCTGCGCTATCTTGAGTCGTTTTTATAACAGTTGTTAAATCAGCCATGATACCAACTTGAACTGATTTAAATAATGTTAAACCATTAGCAGCTCCTGTTGCAGCACCTATTTCTAATGGTATACGAAATAATGGATTTTTTCCACTTAATTCTTGTAATCGACTCATAATTTGATTTCGAATGAATGTGCGTAAATTAGTTTTAAGAACATCTTGAACTTTATCAGTTATATCACGTGAACGTACATCAGCACCAAATAATTTCAAATAAAGATGAACTGATGGATCAGGGTCTTCTTCTTTATTATCATAAGCCTATGAGATAAAAAAAAGCGTTTCATTTATACTGAAAAAAAAATACAAGAAATAACTTACATCTTGTAATCGTTTTACAGGTGGTGGTAAAGCATTTTTAATACGAGTTTTTTCATCGTCAGTAACATTGTTAGCTTTATTTAATGAATCCATACGAAAGAAATATTCTGCAAAATTCCAATCAAGATTTTCACTAATTAATGCAAGATCAACCCATGGTAAACGAAGTGTTTCACGACGAATACCATCAAATGCTAATTTAGCACCAATAAATGATGGAACAATACGATCATTTTCAAATACAAATGAAAGTTGTATAAATGCTCGATAATTCTTACGAAGTGGTAATTCCATTTGAAGTTGTCGTGATGATAATGTTGCTTGTTCAGCAAATTGTTTCTTATCATGATGATGAACACGAAGTCGAGCAGCAAGACCACGTAATGGACAAAGACGATCAAGTGATGCATATTTAAGAGTTGACCAGATATAACCATTTACTTGATTAAGTGGTTCATTAAGAATATCACCAAATGCTTTTTCTAAAGCATCTCCTAATGTTGAATCAGCTTCTTCAGGATTATAAATAAATGATGTATACAAAGCTTCAAATGCCCATACTCGTACAGCATTTTTATTAGCTTTATTTTGAAGTTTTCTCAATAGAAGATTTTGAAGATCTGTACGAATTCTTAATTCATTATTATCATCAACATTATCTGGACATATATGACGAATAGCATTCAATGCATGATATTGAACTTCTAATGATGCTTGATCATTAGCAGCTAAACGTCGTACTTGTTCATCATATAAACCTAATTGAGCATAAGCGGATAAGACAGCTGTTGTCACATTACTAGAATCTTTGTTTGGATTATTTAAAAATTTTGAGATAGATCTTTGAAAATCTTTAATTTTCTAAAAAAACAAAAAGAAACGATCAAATAGATTCAAAGAATAAACATACAGCGTCAGCATCTTTATTATTATCTTGTCGACTTTTGTATGTTTTGAGAATTGCAGCAGCAGGACCAACAAATTCTGGTACTTGATGAGCAATTAATCGTCGTGCAGCATTAACAATTTGTTCAACTAATTCACTTGATGGTTTATCCAAATAGAAGACAGATAATGGATGAGCAAATTTTAATGTTTGTGTATCAAGATTAAGTAATGAAGCACTTGGATCATGTGCATAAATTGTATTAAGAAGTGTTGGTACTAAATGTCTAATAAATCGAAAATAGTAAACATATATATATATTCAATGTTTTTTTAAATCTTACTTAAGTCCTGTACTGGATTTAAATGTTTCAAGACTAGCTTTGTCCATACGTCTTAATTCATTGGTTATATCAACTAAACGTGAAGCAGCAAATTGATTCCAACTTTTTGTATCGAAGAGTGCTTGAATTTTTGTTACTAATGCAGATACGGGTTCATTAGATCGATCAAATGTAGCTCTTGGAGCAAATTGTAATGTTTGTCGAACAGGAACTCGAATTGCACCTATAACAAGAAAATATATAAGAATATATTGTTTTTTTATTCTACGAACTTCCATCAACGTTGACAGCACCACTGCTGACTAATTTTAATTCTTGTTTAATGGATTCATGTTTTGTTGAAATTTCCTCTTCATCATCTTTATCATTAAAATCAATATCATTATCTTCTTCTGAACTACTATCAACATTACGAACATGATTATCATCATCATTTTTGTCTTTTTCTGATTTTTTAGTTGATTTTTCATCTTCATCTGTTTCCATTTCAATTGTTTTACATTTAACTGTTTGAATTTTTTTCTCACGAACTTCTGTTTGACATACATAACGTTTTTTAGATGAGAAAACATTTTCAAACTAGAAAAATAAAATAAATTCATTTATTTCATATCTCAAAATTAAACTTACGAGTGGTCCGAGAACTGATGTTAAAACAGGACTTGAACTTAAATGTAATTTATCTCTTGAACATGTTGATAAATCTTTATATTTATTGATTTGTATTGTACCAGCCTTTTGTGTATATTTATATCGAGTTGTACAAACACCAAGTACATCTTCTTCTCGTACGATATTTTCACCATCAGTTGGAACAGGTGAATAGACTTGAAGTATACTAAGAAGACCTTTAACAAAGTTAACATGATCAACTTTAGCAGATGAATCAGCTTCGACAGCGACGATAAAACCATCAACCCATCGAAAACGAACAACAAGATTTTCAAGTTCTCTTTGAGCACTTGCAGTTGCTGTTACAGTTGTTTCTTGTTCATCTTTTGTTTCAGTTATTTTAACATTACGAAGCTATAAAAAAAATGTATTTTAAATTAATCAATAAAATAGATTTTCATATTTACTTGAATTGCATAATTACAATCACCTAAATTTCTAATGTGTGCATCGGCAGTAATTTGATTTTTTAAATCATACTGAGCATTGGCAACAGATAGTTTAGCGTCTGTTTTATATTTATAAATCAATGAATGACCAGATGGAAGAAGTTGCGCTAAAAAATTTCAAAATAATTATTTATTTAACACATATATATATTCACTTACCAGCCGAACAGATTGGATCAGGATTTTGTGTTGATGAAAGTGGTGCACTCCAAGCTTGAGAAACTATAAAAAAAATGAAATATAGATACATTTTTTTCTCGCATTCAATTGAATCTTACCAAGCAATAAAATTGCAATACAACGGAAATTCGAAGACGCAAACATAGCGAAATATTTGCGTCTAATTTCTAACAAAAGACTGTTCCAACAGATACCGGTACGTACGTATTATTTTCTACAATAGAAATGTAGAAGAGACAGTTACTAGTCGAAGCTTAAGTTTATATACGGTCGTTTATCTATTCTTCTCTCGTGATATCCCAATTCAATACTGATAAGATTTATATCCGTTTAGCTTACCAATGAGGATAGTCTAAAACGAGAGAGAGACAGACAACTGCAAATTTATGATATCTTTTTCTTTAACTCCCTCGATGTACAAATAGGAGACTATATGTTATCTACTAATATGGATAGTTATCTACTTTCGACAAGAACGCTTAATGTTGTTTTTATGACATAGCTACGAGCTAGACAAGAAACGAACTTTGATCTGAAACAAGAACTATCTACGTAATCAATTTCTAAGGATCAAAGTTTGAATTATTTTTAGCATCAATATTATAATTATAAACAGTTTTTCAAAACAAAACAAACTAATATGTATTCTGTATATGAAGAGAAAAGAAAACCTGATTAAAATATTGTATATGATATTATTATTCATCAAACCCTGGATTATCGTATAAGTTATTAGATACTGTATAATGAGTTTTCGTGACGTTATCTGTAATATACTTTTTTTTCTCTTCTTATCTTTTCATCATATCATATTTAGGATCTTTAGTGTATCTTAAAAAAAAAACACCCTTACAGATCAATGATATTTTCTACGTGTGTTTTTCTTTCCCATCAACAATTAAGTAGGCTGATTCATCCTATGTCATGAGAGATGATAGATATCATTGATGACGTTGTTTACTTTTTGTTTGTACTTTTAAGACGTTGTTCCTGAGTTCTTGTCTGATGCTATTTTAGTTCGTATTATTCATCAAACAGTCAACTACAGAAAAACATGTCATTATTTTATCTGATAAAAAAAAGCATTGAGAGCTGTCTTTCTCATATTAATCAACAATATATCATTTGTTTTGGGAAGGAAAAAAACAAACGATTATAAATGTAATAAAAGTACAGAATATATGTCCATTAATAATAATGATGTAATACGTGCTCGTATCTTATATAGGTTAAAAAGACCTTAAGTTCTATTTCGTGTTGTTGATAATGCACTGGAAAGATATTTTGGTAAGATTTAATCTTTTATTTTTATTGTGTAAAGTGAAAACATTTATGAGACAATACAATCAAACGTATTATAAAAAATTGGAATTATTGTTTTCTTTTTAAGAAGAGGTGAACATTAAATATAATACAGAAAAGAAAAACACGCACCACAATGAAAAAGAAAAGAGAAGAAGGTATCAGATATATGCATAAATGATATAAAATATACAAAATTCTTCATTGTATTCATTCTTCTTGTTTATGATTCTCATGTATAACACCGTCGCTTGTTGAACGATTGACAAGAACATATTCATGACCATTTGAATTCGAGTCGGATGATATTGGACTTTCATTTTCATGAAGATTACTTACTTGACGTGATACAGCTGTTTCTAATTCACTATGTTGACTTTCTTCTTGATCAGAATCACAATCTTCTTCATCACTTCCAATTCTATTTAAAAAAGAAAATTAATATTTCAATACATTCTTTCTCTATACATACAATGTTAATGGTCGATTTTCTGATTCAGCTAATTCAATTTGATATTTATTCTCATTTTCTACATCATTTTGATTAATTAATGGTTGAAGATTTTGTTCAGTATTTGTATTTTCATACATTTTATATTTAATTAATTCATCAAATGTAACATCAGATACATCACGAATAAGATCCGCGGCACATTCACGAATACTAAAATAAATAGAATGTTTTCTTCTGAAACAGTCCATAAAATTTTACCTTGTTTCACAATATTTTTCAATAGCTTTTTCTAATATATCAGCAAATTGATTTTCAAATGGACGTATCAATTGAGCTGAATCAGGTTGTTGTTTGAATAAAAATAATATACGTTCATGAATATGATTTAAAACTGCTGGATTAAAAATTTCATTAATATGCGTTCGCATAAATCTAATATAGAAATAGTTGATTTTTATTTTGTAATTGAACAATTACTTACGGAATTAATTGAACCATGATTGATTTAACTTGTAAATCAATTGTATGTAAATCAACATTATTTATCTCCTTAGAAGATGTTGGAAAATCATTTAATGGTTCCTCATTATCATTATCATCATCATCATCAAATGTAAGTTCTTGTAATGGTTGATAATCATCAATAGATGATACTGAAGATTGATGATCAAGTTTTTGTTTATAATTATATTTTTCATTATCATTGAGAGCAGGTCGTCGATGGATTATAAATGAATTCGAAAGATTTTCTGTTGATAGAGCCCGATAAGGATTCGAAAGATTATGAATAGATGATTTTTGTTGTGAAGCTGAACTTTCTTGTTTATTTGATGTTTCCATATTGATTTTTTCTACATGAATAGCTGTTTGTTTTCCAGTACTTTGACTATTGAATGATGTTTTACTTGAATTTTCAAATATATGATTTTGTAATTTTAATTGTTCATCAGTAGATGATCGTGATTGTGGACGAATTTTTGGAAGAAAATTATATATCGATTCTTTTGAATTATCTCTTGGAATTTGATGATGATATTGTTTATCAAATGATATTGAAGATGTTAAACGATTATTTTCCGATTGAAGTGCATTAATTTCGGATTGTAAAACAGCTATTTCACGATATGCTGTATTTAAATTAACAATAAGACCTTGAGTTAAAACTTGTTGTTGTAATTGATTAAATATTGGATCAGTTGTTTGTGGTACGGGTGAATTCGTTGCAACTGTAAGACGTTCTTCAATATGACGATTGAAAGATTTTTGTTCTTCGATAAATGTTGATAAACAACGACATACTTCACGCATTTGAATACTTAATTCATTTTCATTAATAAAATTGTCCGATACACAGAAATTACTTTGTTTAATACGATTATTATCATCATCATCATCTTCTTCTGACTCAGATTTGTATAATGGTCGAATATTTTTCGGATTATTTAATTGATCTTCATAAGATTCTGTTTGAATTGTTGGTGTATTCATACTTTGATGTAATGATGTTATTTGACCTTTTAATGTATGTAAACGTGATCGAGATTCAACTAAACGTTCAATTTCACGATGTTGTGCTGCCATTTTAATATCTACAGAATTATTTGTTGATGAAAAAGATTTTGGAACTTGTTGAGGTGTATGTGTATTTGATAAACGACTAGACTTTGTATTTGTACTTAATGTTTCAATTTGCGGATTATAGATAAATTGATTCATATTACGATCAATATCATTGCTTTTAGATGATAATGGAGTTGAATGTGTTGATGTAGAAAATTCATCTGGTTGAATTTGTTTTACCATTTGTTGAAGTTGACTTAAAGCTGATTTTGCTTGTTCAAGTTCTAATTTTTTAGCAGTTAATTGATTTGATAATGTATCGAGTTGTTTAGGAGTATTATAATTATTTATTGTTTGTTGATCTTGTGTATCATCGTTTTGATAATATGCAACAATTTGTTCTAATTCATTTAATCGTTCACGAACATGTTCGAGATTTTTTAAACGATTTTCTGCTGTTAGTTGTGGTTTTTTTGATGATTTTTGTAATTGTTGCATTTCAATTTCATATTTTTTTTCGTACCGATTTTTAAGTAATTTTAAACGATTACGTAAATTATTAATATCAGATAGAAGATCATTTTCTTCCGAATCTGTACTTTTTTGATTAGTTAATTTTTGTTGTTGTTCTGAACGTTGTTTTAAAGCAAGTAATGCTCGTTGTTGACCTTGTAAAGCACGTAACTAAAGAAAAGAATGTATTGTGCAAATATGAAATGCAAATTAATTTACTTGTTCTTTTTGTAATGTTAAATTTTTTTCCATTTCTTTGTCACTTTCATCAACATCATCTCCACTTGCTTCATCATCAGACTTACAAAAAAAATGTATATAAGAAAAAATATTTTCTTCGCTTACAGTCGCTTGTTGATCTTTCCAATGAATTATTGTATCACTTTTAAGACTACCAACAAGTGAATCATAATTAGAATAATCATTACGATTTGTTTGTTCATTATCCGATAGATTTAATGTTGGTAGAACAGTTGGAAGTGCTTGTGGAATAAAACCGATTTTACTTTCTATACGTGGTCGAATTGGAGATTGAACATTACCTCGAAGTGATAAATCATCCTTAAATTGTAATAAGTGAAATAGAGTAAAATATCTTATTGAAAATACATACATCATCATCATCAGGTTCAACCATATTTGTATTGATCATTGCTGAACGTTCTTTTTCTGTTAACTAAATATAAGAAAATAATTAACGACAACTCAATTCATTTTTTGTAAGAAAAAGAAAAGTAATCTTTTTATAAAGACTTGAATTAATCGTATGCAAATCTCTTATCAGTCAACAATGTATTAAATATCAAACTAAGAATACTGATATGAAGATTTAAATCTTACCGTAATTAAATCGAGTAAATTAACATAACTAGCTTGTTGTTCTTCAAGATTTGTAAGAATCGAATGAAGTTTTTCACGTTGTTCATCACTACCCGGCTACAATTGAAATTCAAAAATTTATTTTTGAATATTAATCAATTTTATTTCTTACAACTATATTTTTAAATTTTTCCATTGAGACAAGCATTGTACGTGCTTGATGAATTGATTTTTGTATTTGTGTTATACGACTTACAATTTTCGATCTTGAAATTATCTAAATAATATTAAACTATTCAGTGGATTTTAATCTTTTTTGATTATTACTTCTGTTGATTGATCTTGATCACTATTTATTATTGTATCATTATCTAATGTTTCGTTAGATTCATTTTTATTTGCTTTACCAAATGTTGGTCGTGGAATACCATCAGCTAATAAATCATTCTCATCTTCATCATCACTTATTTGTATAATATCATTCTGATAAACTGGATCAAAAAATGACATCTTAAATATTACAACAAAAAAAAACAATTTATTGGAATGAAGAAAATTTTAATTTACTTGATCATTCTTATTAGATAAATCACGTATTTTTCGTTTAGGCGGCATTTAATTATCTAGAAAGAGAGAGATTATAAATAAATTTTATTATTTATCTTTATTCTTTGTTCGTATACGACGAGCTTCATCAATTAATCTTTTAATTTCACTTTGGTCTGTTTCTATTCTTTGATTACTATTTGTTTTATTAGTTTTAGAAGATATATTAGATGTATCGATATGATATTGCATAGCTAATAAATACATTTCTGCTGATTCAGAGCGTGATGCACTTGGTTTAATAAGATGAACAATATGAAAAAGAGATTCGAGTAATGAACGTATTTCTTGAAATGCTTCTTGTCCTTGAAATAATTTACATAAAAAATAACCATTTGGTTTTAATAATTGACGAGCAAAATTAAGAGCTTGCTGTTGAAGTATAACAATTGCTAAACAAAAGAAACAGATATGTAAATATTGTTAGAATTAATAATTCTAACCTGAATGATCAATTGTTTTACATCCAGTAACATTTGGACACATATCAGAAAGAATTCCATCAACTTTATCAATTTGTAATCGATTTAATAAATCTTGTAATCGTTTATTACAATCTCTCGTTGTTTCTTCTGTTAAATTCCAATCATCAATAATATGTACACCGGGTATTTCAAATATTGGACTACGATCGAGTGCAATAACTGTTCCACATTTTAAATCTGGATTTGGTCGATGTAATGATGTGATTTCACTCGGATGTAATAATTCATTTTGTTGTATTGCTTTCTTTCGTGTATTAATACGGGCATTCACTTGTTTAACAAGTACCTGTGACCATGCACCTGGTGCAGCACCCATATCAATAACGACATGACCTGGTTGTAAGAATTTATAAGCATCATTCATTTCAATTAATTTAAAAGCACTTCGTGCACGATAGTTTTCTTTAACAGAACGACGAACATATGGATCGGACACATGTTTTGTCATCCATGCTTTTGTAGAATGACATGTACTTGTTGAAAAAAATCTTTTGGCAAACATAAATTGTTTAGATGCTTGAATTAATAAGGAGTTGCCGCTTTTTTTTCTTTAATAAAAAAATTTCTTTCCGTATAATACCCATTAAAGGAGTAAAAATGAAATGATTACTTCCATCGGTCAATATTTTGAGAGGAATGTTTTCAAGGTAACGACCTCGAAATAGTTTACTTTTGAAATAATGTATTCATTTTAAATTCAAAAAAAAATTTCTTTATTTATTTTCATTCTTTTAAAATATTATCAAGTTTTAGCCACCGGTGTTTTTTATCAGTTCATAAAATAAACAAAATAAATATATTGAATACGAGCGACATCTTTGACATAATTAATTGAACAGCGTATCTATCACAGTAATATTATGATAAAGTTCGAATAAGGAAACACAAGTCTGTCGTTTCATCTTGAGGATGTGGATGAGTTCAGTATGCCATAATCTAGATTTCGATCTTGCTTTCTTATTAACTCGACGTACGCATTCAAAGTTGTCATTTTATGTTATGATTATCTTAGCAACGAAATATCGGGAAATTCTTGTTTAAACGCAAAATGAAAATATCGAAATCGAACTGATATCATTCGTTTACAGGAAGTGTTGTAAAAACACGATTTTGACTTTTTAACTCTCTATACAAAATACAAGTTTATTAACTTGTGATGGAAGTTTCATAGTTATATATCATATTATGGCTACAAATATTAATCAGATCTTATTGCAATTTTATACTTTGAACAATTGAATCACACATATTTTTTATTTACATATATCAATAAATGAAAACCATTCAAAGAAATATAACCAAACTATTATTTGATGTTTGATGGCAGAATTATGCTAGTGAGTATTATTGAATTACAAAGAAATACAAATTATTAGTCTAGTATTGGTTGTTAGTAATCGTTATTACTTCCTCACTACCATAGAAAAGTGCTACTGAATATTATTTCTACTACAAATTAATATTTACTATTTCATTTCATTATTATTATTATTTTCATTATTGAGAAACTTTGAGTTTTTCTTCTTGTTAATTCAAAATTTTAAAAATATCTCATGAATATTTCATAAATCATGTTGTTCCTTTAAATCAGTTAGCTAGAGTATAATTATCTGATCAGGAGAGTTTTTTCTTTAAACTAGAAGGAAAATATAGCAATGTCACGTACTTTTTGCAAAAAACTAAAGCTTTTTATTCTCAAATGTTTACAGCTCTGCTTCTTAACAAGTGAGTTACAAGGAAACAACCTATCTTACTGGGCAAAACAAAGAAACATAGAAAGATAATTAAACATCGTTTATTTTACTAATTATTTTGAAGCTGTACATTGAAAAATACAAATAAAACTGATATAAGTGTGTCTTAAGAAATCGCCGAAGAATCGAAACAGAATAGAGTAAAGCACCTGCATCGTTTTTTGATATGATTGCTATACGTTTGCATTTTTCTTCAAAGTGAATTTGTTTAGCAATTCTACACTATTTCACAGATTTTCTCATTCTAATTATGAACTAGACAACCATTAAGATTATTTTTTATTCTATTCCTGTTATCATATCGTCAAAATTTTGTGTAACTGGAACTTTGACTCAAGACTAGTTCTTTGAACTCATTATTTATTAGCCCATGGCAGCACTGGAATCCGATCGAGTCTAACAAGATCAACCGGTCCGTAGAAATGGAAATTTTTTGATAGCCTCTTCTTTGTCGATCATGTTTTGGCGATAAAAAAATCTAATATAGCGTACACATTTCTTGTAGAGTTGGTAAAATAAGGCACAAAACACAGGTTATCTAATTATTTATCGTAATGCTCAGTTGAAAATATGGTTTTTGTTGCATTTGTCATATATGCTCCCCGAAAGTACCCTCACGCAAAACTCTTTCCTTCATTTGTTTCTTTTTTATCATATCTTGTATAAAATTTATTGTCGAGTGAGATATAACTTCAGAGTTTTATTACAGTGTGATCGTTTTACCATACTGAAATAAAACGCGTAAGTCTTATCTCTACTAGACAATAAATTTTGTACAAAGTATGATAGCACAGAAATGAAAATGATGGATAAATTTTCTGTTCGTACGTGTAACTCATATTTGGATTCATATTTCTATAAAGTGTTTATCAAAAGAATTAGAGATATATGACGCTGGTTTGGCGCTACCTAGTTTGCTATCATATATATATAGCTGTGACCATTCTCTTTCTTCTCAGTCTTTGTATATAAAACGTCGTCAAAACTTAAGTAAAAAAAGAATTAAAAATCACGAGGTTTGGCAACCCTGGTCGGCTTTGTTCATTACGTTTTATTATTTACAGAGTTGTTCTTTGTAACCGAACGCGAGTCACTGTAAACTAGAATTCATTCAAACATAAGTGAACAAAACATTCTTTTTTTTATTTATTTATCAAATATTCTTTATAATCTTTTTTTTACAATTTCAATGCTCTCTTTCACAGTTTTTATATTACGATGAATGGGAGGTAATGCACGTTGTAATATGTCCAGAGCACGTTCATGATATGAAAGTGCTCTCGAGTACTCTCCCATGTTGCAATACACATTACCGATGTTGTTGTATGAAGTAGCCATTGAAGGATGATTTGAAGGAAGAGTTTTTTGTTGAATTTTCAGTGCTTTTTCGAAATATGAAAGTGCTTTTAAGTATTCTCCCGTCTTCTCATGTAAAATACCGATGTTATTGTACAAAGTAGCCAAATAAGGATGATTTGAAGGAAGAGCTTCTTGATAGATTTCAAGTGCTTTTTCGAAAAATGAAAGTGCTTTTAAATAGTCTCTCGTACTGGCATACACACTACCGATGTTGTTGTATGAAGTAGCTAATAAATAATGATTTGAAGGAAGAGTTTTTTCTCGAATTTCAAGTGCTTTTTCGTAGAATAAAAGCGCTCTCAAGTACTCTCCCATGTTGTCATACACATTACCCATGTTGTTGTATGAAGCAGCCATTGAAGGATGATTTGAAGGAAGAGTTTCTTCTCGAATTTTAAGTGCTTTTTCGTGAGATGAAAGTGCCTTCGAGTACTCTCCTATCTTGTCATATATCATACCGATGTTGCGGTGTGACTGTGCAATATTAGGATGATTCGAAGGAAAGGTTTCTTGTCGAATTTCAAGTGCTTTCTCCACCGATGAAAGCGCTCTCGAGTACTTTCCCATGTCATCATACACTAAACCGATGTTGTTGTATGAAGTAGCCAGATCAGGATGATTGGAAGGAAGAACTTTTTGCAAGATTTCAAGTCCTTGTTCATAATACTGAATAGCATTTTCATAATCACCTTGATTGCAATAGTTCAATCCTAACTGATGATAAGAAATCGCTTTTTTATATTCATCAGATGATGCAGCAGTATTTTGATATGATTCTGATCCGCTCATTCTCACCTTATGGTAATTTATTGTTGTTTGAATCAAAAGAAAGATCACCCTTCGTCTTTATATAAGCAGTGACTTGTTTTTTCTCGATTTTTCGGCAACTTCGAATGTTTGTGGATTTTTTTTATCGCTTAAGAACAAACTTACCAAATTACATTTGAAAATAATACTGCAGAGCAAAAAAAATCAAAACAAACATTTTTTGATAATATTTGTGAAAGAACGAACAAAATAGAAGCGAACAATCGCATTCATTTTATATTTATTCTTTCCAGCTTATTTTTGCTTCTGTCTACACCATTACTGCAGTTTGCCAATGTGTAGGCGACATTTTCTTTTGATCGAATACAAGTAGAAAGAGAAATAAAATTCTTTCACCAGATTTGTTTTTCTTGTACACTCTTTGTTAAACATCATATTACTGTTTGATAAATGTATGAAATTTATGATGGAAAAATCAAAGAAAGAAGCTTTGTGAAATTTGTACATAGAGCATGCTTTCAACATTATGTCAAAAAGATAACAAAAGTAGTATAGGTCCCATATTGATGAAAGTAAGATCGAACAGAACTTTTCTAGCTAGTCTAATTATTAGAGATAATGAATTCGATTATGATAACAGAATATTGTAAGAACTTTTTTGATTTCTGTTAGAAAAAGAGGTGCTGAAGAACTATATACTTTATATATGATGAAAGTTTGTTTTTGCATTATAATAAATAATTTGTCAAATGATTTCTCTGTTACATTATGTGCCGTTTATTATTTTTCTGAATACCAGAAAAACTATTTCAAGACAACATGAATGCTTTTGTTGTAATAAACAGTGTATATATATGGTGATAGAAATCCTTGAAAATTTGAGAAGAACTATGTTAAAAACAGAATTTATGCAGAACCTTTGCATTATCTGTTCTTATCTAAAAAAATATAGATTTTAGTTGATAAAAAAGTAGTTAAATAAATATGGCAATAATCTTGCAACAGTATATATGTATGCACCACTCGACTTATGTTCATTACAAGTAAAATAAATATAAGACAAATAATTTCTTTTCATTTAAATCTAAAAATAAAAAGTCACTAGTAAGAATAATGATTTATACCTAGTTATATAAAATGCAAATATAAGGAGAAAGAAAGATTGATGAAAAAAAGTGCATTGACAACGAAACAAACAAACGTTAATGCAGTTTTATTATTCTTGCCATTCTATTTTCGCCCTTGTATGTAAAGAAACGAATTTGAAGAGAAAAGCGAAGCTGCACATTTTGCTTCCTTTGTCAGTATCTGTGATATTACTTTTATTGAATGGACGAGTTAAATAGATCAAAAGTATATAACGAAGAATAGTTGGATGATGTACGAAGGTTATATTAAAAAAGATTTTCATTATCTGAAAAAACTAAGCTTACTCAGGTTCACAAATTCGATAACGGATCCGATCATACGACGCAATCGTCTAGGATTTCTGGTAAAGGATTTGTGTTGGATTCAATCGGAGAAATATCGGTGAATTGCTGCTAATTTTATGAGCGTTCTTTTTAGCTATATTGTATTACGGCCTTAGGCACCTATCGGATTAGTCAACCTGGGTGAGCTTGATTATTATCTTCATAGTTTCCAAGATATTCCTTATTATACAAAAGACGACTGATGATGTAGTCTATTGAAATAATTACATCATATAATCAAGTACATACCTAAGAAATAGAATCTTTTTTTCTGTATTATAACGTCAGATATAGATTTAATTTTGAAAAATAACTTTTAAATTACATATTGTTTTTAACTTGTAATCGTCATTAAACTGATCTTGGATATCAAGTGAAAATGTTGTTTATATGAAATACTTTGAAAGCATTAACTATAAATGTGTGATTAAATCTCGTTAATAATCAAGAATGAGAAGAAATTCCATCATGTTTACTTTTTTTAGCATGTAATTTAGTTCAATTTCTCAAAAAAATATAAAGTACAAATGACTTTAATTACTCTTAACACTATTGCTAGAAATAGAAGATCAAGTTTATTAATTATAATCAATATATTAGGAATTACTTTTGAATTTCATCGTTATAATGTTAAATCAAATAAAAGTTGAAGTAATGGATTAGATGAGTTTATCTTAATAATTCAGATCATAAAAGAAAAGAGTTAGCTCGATGAACTCTACTAATTGTATAAACTTTATTCGAATCGCATGAATAATCGTTGAAAGTACAATTCAGTTAGTTAATTCAATACTCACCCGCATGGCTATGATCTAAAACAGCAAAGTTTAATGTTTTAAATTAATTTAGATCATCTTGATTTCAATTAACTCTTCAGAGTGTAGATCGATCTGGACATTATGAATATCTACTTGTATCACTATACTTATTGAATTTATCTCTGGTCGATATAGTATAAACAAGATTAATTTTCTTTTTTTTTGTCTATGCCTTCACTCTTTATTCGTGCATTTGCTTTTCAAAACAAAATATCACAACTATTCATCAAATGAATAAATTATAATAAAATAAATAAAAATGCATGCTATTTATTACTTCAATCGATTTAGATGATCTTCTATCAATGATGTAAAACAAATGAAAATACTTGGTAGTCTTTATGATCTACAGCGGCAACTTGAAAAAAGCACAATAATCCAAATGGATAAGAATAGAATGTTATTTATTAAATTGTTCATTACCATATAATCATAGATTCCCGTTCTTTCTCATAAACGACTATTGTTCATATTCCATCTCGGAATATAGAACTAGAGAATAATATTCAATCACATCCATAGAATATAAATGTTTAGAATGTTACTTTGTTGTCAAGATCAGTTGTTTTTTCGCATACATTCAATTTAATCGATCTGTTTCTATATCTCACAGTATCCTCTGTGAAACACCTAAGTGTGGTAGCCATTAAATATTGAGAAATCATCCTAAGACGTCTTATCATATAATTTCTCTCTTACTCTGAATCCGAGATCAGATGACTTTAATTAACTTTTCTACATTATAAAATAAATTATAATTCATCATATCTTGAATATATCTGAATTGAACAACACATCATAAATAAATGATTATTCTTTTCATTTCTTTCTTATTAATGATGAATACTCATTGATTAATTCAACTAGATTATGTTTTGATAACATATCGGTATCTGTATTGCAATTTTTTCTCATCATACGAGGCCTCGTTCAACACTAACAATTGAATTCCATGCACGTTATTCTTCTTTTATTACAAGGAACACTCTCGTAATGAATTAGAAATGTAAATGTCTTAGAAGGTCATTTATACACATACATATATGTATGTGTATTACCTTATCAGTCGGATTTGTTCATTACGTTTTTATTATTTACAGAGTTGTTCTCCGTGGGCGCGCGCTAGTCACTACAAACTAGAATTAATTCAAAAATAAGTGAACAAAACATTCTTTTATTTAGTTATCAACTACTCTTTATAATTTCTTTCTTTACAATTTCGATACCGTCTTTTACATTTTGAATATTAGGATGAGTTGGAGGTAATGCACGTTGTAATATGTCCAGAGCACGTTCTAAATATGAAAGTGCTTTCGAATACTCTTTCATATTGTTATAAACACCACCAATGTTGGTGTATGAAGTAGCCAAATCAGGTTGATTTGAAGGAACAGCTTTTTCTCGGATTTCAAGTGATTTTTCGTGAGATGAAAGTGCTTTCGAGTACGCTCCTATCAGATTATACACATTACCGATGTTGCTGCATAAAGTAGCCAATGAAGGATGATTTGAAGAAAGAGTTTTTTGAAAGATTTCAAGTGCTTTTTCATAATATGAAAGCGCTTTCGAATATTCTCTCATCTTGGTATACACTAAACCGATGTTGTTGTATGAAGTACCCAAATCAGGATGATTTGAAGGAAGAGTTTTTTGCCAAATTTCAAGTGCTTTTTCGTGAGATGAAAGGGCTTTCGAGCACTCTCTCATCTTGTCATACACTAAACCGATATTGTTGTATGAAGTAGCCAATGAAGGATGATTTGAAGGAAGAGTTTTTTGAAAGATTTCAAGTGCTTTTTCGTAATATGAAAGTGCTTTCGGGTATTCTCCCATGTTGTCATACACACCACCGATATTGTTGTATGAACTAGCCAAATCAGGATGATTTGAAGGAAGAGCTTTTTCTCGAATTTCAAGTGCTTGTTCGTAATACCAAATAGCCTTTTCATAATCACCTTGATTCGAATGCACTGATCCCAGCTGATTATGATAATGCGCTTTTTCACTCTCCTCAGATGTCTGTTCGAGTAATACATTATAAAGTTCTTTAGCTTTATTAAATTGGCCAATTTTCAGCAATAAGTCACCCAATCTTTGCCATCCAGTACTACCACCAGCGTCTTCTCGCATCCGATCAGTAAGTAATCGTAGTTGTTGATCATCATCTGATGTTAATTGTAATTCAACTTGATAAAGTTGATTCTTATTGTCCATTTGTTTAATTACATTCACCCGAAATACGGTGTGCATTGAGAAAAGAATTTCTTCTTCTTCCTTAAAATAACTCTCTTCTTTGATGGAGGCAAACGGTGTTGATTTCAAGCAAGGATCAATGGACATAACAAAGAGAATGCCAACCATATTCGGTTTTGATGAAGCACGTCCAGCAAAGTCAAAGGACACTTCTTTATCTTTACTCGTGGACAAGAAGTTATTAAATGACATAAGACCACCTTTTGCTTTCTGAAGTTTTTCAAAGTCTGATTTCATAAGACCTTGTCCTCGATAAACTAGAAAAGGTTTTCGCCCATGATTACTGACCTGTTGTTCATGCAGTTGTTGAATTTGTTGATGTACATCACGTAGGAAGAAGCCCATATTAATGATTATATCGGCATCCATATTTCGAAGTGCTCGATTGAGCATTTTGTAGGTAAAACACTCACGTGTATACCACCATATTGCTTTTTGTGGACGATAGTCACGTTCGAATTCTTTAATTACTTGTAGTTCAGTTGGATTGCCGGTAAAAACTTCGTGGCAACAAACTGCTAAGTTTTTGAGCGCCTTACCATCGTATTCGATATCAAGGAGGATCTCTTTGAACAGTTGGGTATACATAAAAGTTGGCTCCAACTGATTTAAATTCTCAGTTGAAGTCATTTCATTTGCCGTAAGAAAACTTACGGCAATGGTGTCTTGGTCACATTGTTTAACCGCCATTTGTAATGCTTGACAAATGTCTTTGATATTTGTATGGACACCTTTAATTTTTGTCCAATTTTGTGCCTATCCGTCATGGCTGGATTTGTTGCCACAGAAGATATAAATGGCATCTAGCTGTGATATGCCATGAGTTTTAGGAACCAAATGTTGGCCTAATGAGCCTGATGTTATCACGAAGACGTGTTCCTTGTCAACTTTATTGAGTGCTTCGATGCATTGATCCGATTCCGTGCATAAGTTGACATCATTGATGACATTTTTCAATTGAGCCAATGTATTGTGGCAGTCCTCGTCTGCTTCGTCAATGCTGGCATCTACCCAGATGAGAAGGTAATTTTGTGCCATACGTTGTCGTGGTTGCCGAATATTTGATGATGCAGCTGCATTTTGATTTGAATCTGATCCGCTCATTCTGATCTTGTGATAATTTGTTGTCGAATATGAATCATGTCAGTATACTTTGTTGTTGGAATGAAAAGAAAGATCACTGTTCTTCTTTATATAGGCAGTGACTTGTTTTTCTCGATTTTTCGGCGATTTCGAATGTTTGTATGTTTTTGTTGTCGCTCAAAGACAAGTTCCATCTAGTTACGTGCAAGATAATATTGTGCAAAGCAAAAAACAAATCAAAACAAACAAATTTGTTGGTCATATTATTGAAAGAACGAACAAAACAAAAGCAAACAAATCAATTCATTTTATTATTATTCTTTCCAATTATTCTTGCTTCTGTCTACATCATTACTGCAGCTTGCTGATGTGTAGGCGACATTTTTTTCATCGAATATAGAAAGAAAGAAAAATGCAATTCTTTCAGCGAATTAATTTTTCTGTTACACCGTTCACCAAACATCATATTATAGTGTTTGATAAATTTACGATGGCAAAGTCTATGAAAGAAGCTTTGTAGTATTTTGTACATAGAGCATGCTTTAAATATTATGCCAAGGAATTGAAGAAACTGTTAGCTTAATACAAAAGATGAGATATCAATGAAAATTTGATTAACGAATCATCTACAATCCGATAATTAAATTGTAAATTAGTATCACCGGTATTTCAACAGTATGTAAATTTGGCTGCATTCTAGTATAGTCGCGAATGCTAAGATTTTTTTGAAAACCTCAGAGTCGTTATTTCGAAATCCAAGTTCGCATCGAATTTCACAGACGGGTCTCGACTCATTGCCATCTGGTTGTAGCTTTGTAACGTTAATATATCGAGATCTGTAGTTTTCACCACTCGAAAGAGGAAACAACGGGACATACACATGTCGAAAAAGTAAAATTCTCTCAGTTGTTTTTCATGCTAGTTTTCGCAGACAAAATCTGGGGAAAATTAGGAAGTCCTCCAAAAAAAATATTCCTTAAGTTTACAAAATCTATCTTTAGTAAAAAGTTATAGGCATATCATTTAAAGATATAAGACAACGTTTTATATTGAAATGGAACAGATTTATTTACAATAAAAACAAATAATGGTTCGATTAAATAACGTTTCATTAATCACTATAATCGAGCTGATTCTTTTTGTCGAGTAGAATTACACTGTTGATCTTTAATCATTTTTCTAACATTTTCTAAAATAACTTTACTTTTCGCTGATGATTTAATATCATTTGATGTTTTTTTATTCTCTTTACTTAAATCATAAATTTCATTACATGATTGATGTTTTGAATTCTTCTTATGTTGATTAGAATCACTATCTATTGATAATGTTGTATGTGTAATAGTTTTATCATGATTTTCTTCTTGAATATCATTAATAGTTTTTGGTAATGGTGATGGTGTTTTAACTTGTTTAGATTTTAAAGATGATTGAGTTGAATTATTTTTAATCGTTCCTTTTAATTTTCTATGTAATAAAAATTAGAAATCAATTCATTAATAGACCTACTTTTTTTTTGACTTACGTTTCTTGATCAGGTATATTTGTTGTTGTTACACGAACACTTCCGACATGTCGTATAAATACTTTATTTACTTCTGCTTCACGTTGTTTTTCATGTATTGGAAATGATTTTGATTTACGTCGTGATAAACAACATATAGATGAACATCGACAACATGATCGAGGCATCAGTAAAATAAAAAAAATGTATTTATGTTATCTTATCTTTCTTGTTTTTGAATAAGATTGATGTAATACAATTAACGAAAGAATTTTTATAAGCTTACGAACGAAAAGATCAAATGAGAAGAAAAGAATTTTATTGACATAGCATAGTCATTTATTTTAAAAAGAACACTTTATATATGGGAAGTTTTTTTGTTCAACTTGAGTTAAAAATCGATAAGTAATTGTTGTTTTATCAGGTGAACCAGTTATAGATACTGTTGCATTAAAATCAGATGGACGTTTTAAATCAGAAGTTGATGCACGTAAAGTCAACGACATATCACCAGTAATTGGTGGATCAATTCGAACTATAGAACATCGACTATCCCATCGTACAATTTCAGTATTTAACCAACTTGTACAATCAACTGTTTCAGTAAAAACATTGATACATTCATTTGTATTTGGATCAACTAATGCTTGAGGATAGGTGCCATTGAAATAAGATATTCCATAAAATATTCCAGTAAATTCACCTGTATATGATTGCCAATTACGATAACCAATAATTGTTTTCATATCTTGAGCTGTAACTGGTTCTATACTGTAAATACCAGATACTTTCATTGTAGTAAAAAGACCATTAAAAGTAAAATTATATGTCGTACCAATGGGTGGTAACATATGTTGAGGAAAAAATAGTAAAGGACTTCCATCGATTTTATCAATAACTACGATGCACAAAAAAAAAGCGATGACGAAATTTTTCATTATTTTATTTTTTGCAAATAAGTAGGTGACTTTTATCTAAATTGACTTTGATATATATATATATGGATTTACTCTTGTCATCTGTTTTATATCTCACTATTATGATATCAAAAATATTGGCTTTATGTGATGAAACATATATAATCCTTGTACAAATAAATTTAATCACACAATAACAACAATAGTAGGAATGGCTTTTATTGTCCTACTTCGTAATGATTGGTCTGTGATTACACAGTAATTCAATTTTTACTCGATATATCTCATTCTTTGTCATCATTATAGAAAAGGACTATTGATTTTCTCAATTTTTATTGTCTTTTTATTTCTGAATATTATGGATCACATTTTATATTGGGAAGAATTTTTCCTTCGGTTTTTGATGTAAATTGAAACGTAAGTAGCATTTCGTCTGGAGAACCATCATTTATGATTGATACATTCATCTTAATTGGACGTTTCAAATCAGTAGTATCGACCCAAACAGTCATTTTTGCAACAGAATTCGATGATGCTTCACCTCCAGATAACTTGCACCGATTATCCCATCGTAGAATTTCAGTATTTAACCAACCGGTACAATCAGCAGTGCGTGAAAAAAAACTAACACATTTTTGCGTATGTGGATCCATACTTGATTGAAAAATGGTACCATTCATAAAATATTCTTCATAACCTATTCTACTGCCTTCTGTTGTAAACAATTGCCAAACTCGATAACCAATGATTGTTTCGCTATTCGAAGTAGTAAGAGCATGTATAATATTCTTTCCTACTTGATGACCTATGCCAAAATTCATATTAAAATCTAATTCATAAACGATACCAATTGGAGGTAACATATGTCGAGGTAAAAATAGAAAAGGATCGGCATGTATTCCAAATACAATGAACGTGATGCCAAATAAAACAGTTATCATATTTTTCATTATTCTTTTCAAATAACAAGCTTACATTCTCCTTTTATAGGTAATCATTTGTGTTTTTTCAATTATTTTTTCGCACCTGCGTCAAATGTAAAATATAAATTCGATATGATTTATTTATTTTATATGAAAGAAAAAAAGAACAAGAAAAAAAAGAAAACTGAACAACTAATCATAATAATAATGTAGCTAATATATCTATAAAAAAAATAACAATAGTCTCTCGATGAAAACCAACTTAAATATAACCGAAAGACAATGTTGTATTGTTAATCTCATTTGTAGTATATTGTACACCATTGCAATGACAAAAAAAATAAACATACGTACTTACTTGTATGAATGCTAAGATAAAAAACTTGGTTTTAATTTTAATTCGATTTGTGGTGTAGATTTTTTTTCTACGTCTAAATAATAAAAAAATTAAATGCAATGAATTATTTAGAATTGATTTTTGAACACCTTGATTTAATGGAATATAAGCTGGCATTTCATTAGGAAGGATAGATTGTTCTTCATTCGTTCTAGAAATATATTTATTAAAATTCGGAAGAAAGAAAAAAACTAATTTCTTACTTAAATGAATCAGGTTTTATTTTTACAGTTTTTATTTCATTTCGTTTTCGACGATGTGTTAAATGACAGTGTTTTCCATCACTACATTGACCGGTTGTTTCAAATTGTGGACATAATAGAACATGTTGTTTTGAACACTAGATTTTGAGTTTTTAAAAATTAAAATAGTAAGGCGAAAAATATATATCTCTCTCTCGCGCACACACACACCTCAATTCCTTTGGCACAAAATCCTTGAACAAAATCTTCACATATTTGAGCATCATGTCCAACATACGAATGTGCATATGGACAATTATCTTGACCACAAGCACCTTTTATGAAATAAGAACATGTTGGAACTTTTCCAGGTATTAATTCGTGTAAATAAGGACAAGAAGAATTTTTACAACGTCCATTCAAAAATCTAATAAGATAAAATAAAACCATATCAATCTATTTTAATTAACATACTGTGTACAAACAGCAATTCGTGTACGATCATGAATAAATGGACATTTATCACCGCGATGACATTTACCAAAACGATTAAAATAAATACAATTTTTTTTCTTTTTTAATGTTATAGATTTTCTTTTCGAATTTCTAAGCCGATAACGTCCATTACTTATATTAATACTTCGTTGAATGAGAACACTAAAAGAATTTAATTAAGATTACAAGAAAACAAAACAAAAAGCATTACTTGGCTCGCGCTATGACTGGATGTTCGAGTTTTTTTATTGGAATTGATGATGATGATAAAAGTTTACTATTATCCGAATCAGAAGCTGAAAAATATCGGATAAGAAATTTTTTTTTATTAAGATTAAAATCTTACCGAAACGTTGAAGACATTTACCATTGGAATTTGTATGAAATTTAATACCACGAATTCGTACAAGACATTTCGATAATGAATCACGAGTTTTACGTTTAGTAACACGACTATTAGTTACACCTGGAGCTAAAATCTTTCGACGATCAAGTTTAAAACTAAATATATATATATATTATTTCATTTTCGAATATTATACTTCAATTCAATTAACCTATTTCGATCTGTTTTCTTTAAACTTGTTCTTATCCATTTGTATTTATTTCCAATACTTTTAGCCACTACTGTTGATGATTTATCTATACTCTTTGCTCGAATAAGTGTAGGTTTAGGTGAACTGATTATTTGTTGTTGTTTAGTTCCATTTTGAATAAATTTAAATTGTGATATGGGCAAACCTGTTTTTGATTTCGATATCTTAACAAGTGTTGTTGTTGAATGAATGAGTTTAAAACGAGTTCTATGAGAATATGGTTGATGATAGGAAGAAAATGCCATCTATAATAAACAGAAAAAAAAGTCATTTTAATTTTTATATAACATTTAGTATAACTACACATAAACACATATAAACAAACAAAAAAAGAAAGAAAAATGATATGATTTTATGTTGTTGAAAATTATGGATTACGAATACCAAGTGCTTGTTCTAATTCAGCACGTTTCTGTTGAACTTTATTATAGAAATATCGACTAACTGCTTCATATGACCATTGTTCAGTATAATAATCAGCACGTCGTTCTTCTTCAGTATTTCCAGTTGATGAATCAGTCATCATTTTAAGATCACGAGATTGTGATGCTAACCATTTACATATAAAACCTTGGGGATCATCAGCAAACGAAAGATAAAATTCACGACTTTGTTTTAATTGATTGATACTATCGATATATTGAAGTATCTAATAGAAATTAAATTTTCATAAGCAGATATATTTTAATAGATATGTATTACTTTGCCATCTAATTCTTCTAATTCATGTGTATTTTGTGGTGAAAGAAATGTTCGCATTAAATCTCGAGCTGGATCATCGACTTCAACATCAATATCATAACAAGCATGTTTTTTTGGATCAGTACCCAAACTAAAATTTGAAAAATGTATAATATTCATCTATAAATAAAAGAATTTTTCTTACCAAAGTGTATGATTGATAATAATAGGTTCTGATGGAAGAATAAGTTTATTTAGTTTACTTGGTAAATCAGAAAAACGTAGACGAGAACAATCAAATATCTAAATGAAGAACATTATATGAATTCTTTCGAAATTTCGATATACGAACTGATTGTAGATGTGTATCACAATTAATAAATTCTCTTTCTTCGGAATCTTGTAATTTATGTGTTTTAATATATTGCCATATTGCATGTATAATTGTCTGACGTGTTCCATTACTTATGGAAAGTAAACGAGCAAGACGAGCATCAAGTCGAAATTGTGGTGGCTAAAACAAGGGAAAGATTCATAATCAGAACTTCATTGATGAAAATTAATCTTACTGAATGATCAAGAACCATTAAAATTGTACATTTAACATTTTGATCGCCAGGACGACGAACTTGAAACCCATCTGTTTCAGCTGTAGCATTCGTTCGATGCCACTAAAAAAATATTTAATATTGATAATTTTGTTTTATTTAAAACATACTTCAACAAGATGATTATCTGGTCCATATAAATCTTTATCTAATTCAATAACAAGACTTCGAAAAAATGATGAAAATTTACGTTTTGCTTTTCCTTGATCATATTTAGTTGTATTAGACTAAACAAAAAAAATAATTTCAATTATTTTATTTAAATTATATCCTTATATAATTTACATCATCAAGTAAACGACCTTCGACTCGCATTTCCCAATATTGTATTTGTTCATCATCCATACTTGCTGTATCTGAATCAAAGCGTACTGGATATTGATGACTTATGAAGATTCGTAATTTCTTTTTAATCTTAAAAATAAATCAAAACATAATTTGAAATTTAAATAAATTTAAAGTTCGAAATACTTTTTGTGGTCGTTTAAGTGTTTCTTGTAAATCAAGTCGTTTTCGCATTAAAACAGAATCTAAATTTTGTTCAAGACGTAATAATTCAATATATGCTTGAGATTCAGGTACAAGTGAACGTATTTGTTTATGAATAACTTTTTCTGTTAAACGTTTTCGTTTTTTTCTAAAAAATTTCTATAAATAAATATTTGAATTATACATTTTATTTACTGTTGTCTAATAGGACCAGCATTAGCAGATACAACTGTATTAGACATCATAGGTTGATGTTGACTGGGACCCATTACATTTCCATATGGCATTGGTGGTGGTTGCTGTTGTTGTTGTCCTGGTTGAATCATTGGTTGTTGACGAAGATCATTTGTATAAGTTGAACGTTTATTTTTATCATAAAGTGTTGGACGATTCATAACTCCATAAGGACTACCAACTGGTCGAGGCATTCCCGGTGGTTGTTGTTGAATCATTGTTCCTTGCATAGGTAATGGTGCTACCATTGGACGCATTGATGAAATACCAACTGAAGTATTAGGTTGAGGTATAGACGATGTATTCATCATTGTAGGAGGTCGTTGCATTGGTGATGACTGTTGTTGTTGCATTGGATTAGGATACATGGTCTTAGTTTTGACAGGGGAAATAAGTTAGATTTTAATGATGTGATAGTAATAGATGAAAAGCGTCATATCATTGTTTGCGCTCGTATTTCATTCGTTTATAGATTGAATATATGGATAGATAGATTAATAGAGGGCAGCACTGGTCGAAGCGACAAATATAATCCTTTTTTCTTGTTAATCTACTCATCACCTTCAAATAATTCAATAAAACATATGTACAACATACACTCTAAATGATAGTTCGTAATAGATACATTAAATTTCGATTGAAATAAAAACAAAAAATATTTTTTTCGAGAATAAAAAGGCATGACAACATCGATTTTCAAATAACATGTACGTTCTTTCTTGTCTCTTCTAGATGATATCTTCTTAAAAGAGGTGTTCTTTTCGTTTAATTTTTATATTTAAATCATGTTTAATAAGCAATAAATTGAACTACTTGATCATAAGTATTTCTATTGATGTAGAAAACAAATGAATTTTATTGATATATATGAATGAAGAAAAAAATTCATAGATTGAATTAATCGAAGCACTTGATAGAAGAATCATACGAATTTTATTGTGTGTTTTTTTTCTCTTGTTTTTAAATGAAATCAGCATGCAAGAAAAAAATTATTTTTCGATATTTGAAAAAGTTAATCTTGAAGTTCTTCTTTATCGAAGATATATTCACCAAGACCAGGACCAACACGTCGTAAATTGGTGATATAATCACCATATTCTTTAAGTGATTTAACCTAAATATCAAAATCAAACAAGTCAATAATTTCGAATTCAAAATATTTTTTCTTACCTGTTCATCAATAAATTCTTCTTCAAGATAATTTGAAAGATGTGGATCACTAATATAAGAATACATATATATAAACATAAATAAATTAATAATCTATCATACTTATGTTTGCTAGCAAAAGCATGTAATTCAAGTATTGCTTGATAAACATCTTTTTCCAATTGTAATGCTGTTTCATGAGCTTCGAGTGCTGAATTCCAACTTTGTTGTGTTGGTTTCTAAATTTGTACAAAGAAGAAAATTGATTATTTTGTAATAACAAAAAAAAATAGATTTAAATACTTTAATATCTAAAAGTACAATTGTACCACCACGTTTATTTTGATATTCCATGAATTTATTTGCATGTTCACGTTCTTCTTCAGCCATTTTTTTAAAAAATTCATGGTGACCTATAAATAAATAAACAAAAAATGTATTTATATATAAAATTCTTATTTATTATCTTCTTACCTTTTAAAGCAACATCCGAACGATCGAAATGATGTGCCATAGCCATATAAGCATAGCTAGCATACAATTCCAAATTGATTTGGCGATTGATCAAACCTTCGTTGTCTTCATGATAATTACTAGAAAATATTAGATAAATATATATTTATAAAATTTAGTTTTAAATAATAACATACTATCGAACGAGATTTTCTCGTGATTGGTTTGATGCAATCGGAGCTTTTTGACGATCTGGTACGCCAGATTGTTGTTGTGTTTCACTTTTTTTATCCATAATTTTGATTGTAAATAATTATTTATTTATTGTAATGTGAAAATTGATTTAAATGTTGGAGGGAACGATGACGCTTGATAAACACGATTCGTAACGAACAGTCACTGCTGCTGCAAAACAAATCGACCAACTGATTGAAGAAACTGACGATGAATATCTATATATTTTTGTAACAAGAAAAGAGAAGAAAAAATGAGAGAAAGAAAGAAAGAAAAAGAACAGTAAAAAATACGAGGGGTTATTTCTTTTTCTTTTTCGTCGAGTATGATCTACACGTATATATTCCTTGTCGAAGATTGACGCTGTTAGATGGAGGAAAAAAAAGAGCGCCCCGTTACTATTGCTTATCTATTCTACGCATTTAGTAAGAGGAATAGAGAACAGAAAAAAA